AATTCCCAAACGGAGTAATCTGACGACGTTTCGAGCAGTGGTGGCTGGCGTGGGGTTGAACCGGGAGCAGCCCTGATTGGAATCAGAGGGCGTTCGTCTAGATTCTCATCGCGTTTTTACGTCGGCACCCACACCACTGTTTGTAGCACGTACTATCAACGTTTATCTGCAGGCAGGAGCGATCTGAAACACAACACAACAGTCAGGACCGACAGATGCTACTCAAGTGAGAACACGGCGTACGAGCACAACAGAGATATATTTTAAAATTGAATTACGCGGTCTAAGTACAAAAAAGGGAAGTCTATTACAAAATGGTTTTACTCATTATCCCGCAGGTTTAACTTGCGTAAGGCTTGTTCTTCTTCTAGTACGTTCACTATCTGTTGCCCTGAAACAAGGAAAACAAACTTGCATTGGTAAAGTCACACATAATGGTTTTTGATACTGCTACAGTGCTAACGTGGGATGGGTTCCCAAAGAATTTTGTACAAAACGTAATAATTAAGCGGCTATAACATATAAAATAGCGAGACTTCAATCTGATGACGAATCAGTCAGGTATAAGATAACAGATCTCGGATTTGGGCACAAAAGCCTTTCATTCATTTGGCTAAAAAGATTTCTGGCATTACAGCTGATGTTAGTTCGTGATGAAAACACCATATATTTTTCTTAACTGAGACAAATTATGACAATTATCACGAGCTGGATAATAAAAGTCTCAGTAATACTGCCTGCAGGCAGATACTACAATATATAAGGAAGATTGAAGGGCCTACAGACACCTACATAGGCTTGGTTATGTGCATCGTGTCGTCATCCAAAAGTAGCATTTTGTGTACTCGACAACCGAAGTGCACATAAACAATATTGAAACCATGCAGTCAAGGCTGGAAGAGTTTTTGAGACTTTATCATGGCTCTGGCGTATGGATGATTTCCGCTACTGCATGCATTACCATTTAAGAACCTCTGAACCTATTTTTAAACTTGACAAGTTTTTGAACCACGTATAAGAAGTGTATTCATTATATTTCGTTGGTTTTGTTTAATATATTTCCATTACATACTGTTCACTGATTGAATAATCTTCTCAAGGTCACGTAGGATTCGTTCAAACGTCGTCCATAAGTTAGTCTCGTCGCCCCGTAGTCTATGGTTTATTGGCAAGATATCTTGTTTCAGACCTAACACAAGTATCGACGCTTCAAGCCATAATCTAACTTACTTAGTGTCTCATGTTTATTTTACACACTGAACTAACACAACTTTAAAGCTCTTTGGAACACAATCGAAGCTAACTACCTGAAGTATCTTATGTGTGGAGTTGTTCATTAAGTCATTTATAGAGTTAGTTAATCGGAAGTGCACGTATAATCTCTTCAAAATGGTCGTTTTGACTTTTTTACTCCAATTGATGGTGAATCATGGTGATGTACATACTTGTATGTCGCATGTTGATCTTTATATATATTCCTACAACTTAACATGTTAATACGACGGTATACCAGAAGTAAAAATACGAGATTTTAGTTGAAGCTATATATTTCATACATGCTTATTCACAGATAAACTGTGATTGTCGACTAAATAAACGAAGGTTTTGGGTTGGTGACATACCAGTTCGTGAATTAATTCTGTGCCTTACCTTATTTAGGTAAAACAGAGTAATTTAGGCTAGTAAGTGGACAACAAACAGAGTAGTTGGTGAATAGGCATGCACACAAACAAAGAGCATATAGTAACATAAATATGGTCAACAAGGGCATGGATAACAAAAATAAGTATATAGAAAGTTACGATTACTTGTAAGATATATCGAATTATTAGGAATGTAAGACGGACTCAATAGTCACATGGTGTCTGATTTATCAATATTTGTCCAACAATTAGAATACATCCATATAGGAGATATGAAGAGTCACTATATCTTTACATTGTGCTCCACCTCGAAAGTCTTCGTCCTGGAGTTGTTCCAGAAGTGATTAACTTAAAAATAGCCACAAAATTCTCCCGACCCAGAACCTTGGACTAAAAATACACTTGGTGAGTTTGCAGACCTACGTCTGATCAGTATCTATAAATCATCCTACAAGAACTGAACGTATTCCAAACTTATTGGTCTTCGTTTCATGAATAAGTCCTCTATGTTCATGGCAGGCTGTAGGAAAATCTAAGATATGTTGAGCGTTGGTTAATTAATATGAGGTAGATGACTTGCTGAACAGGTCAGAACTCGTGGATGGAACTAGCTCATGGAGTTAACTAACTAACCCATGGAGTTAGAGTTTTTGTAAAGTTGGGGTGTAATTACAATCAAATTTAGGATAAGCAAAATACAAAGTTTGAAACTAAGAACTGAACTTTTGACCTCCTTAACCATCACTTACATTTCAAAGTACTAACTAAAGCAGTTTGACTTTATTGTAAGTGGTGTTGTGACCTGATAAACGTCTGAGTAGTTGTCATTGGAGTCAGAGCTGTTGCTTTATTACGGATTTGTAGTAGTTGTCATCGATGATTAACCAGTGAAACTTGGTAAAAAAAAATAGCATTTCATATACTTGATCGAATTCCATTTTGTAGGAACCACTGAAGCTATCTGAATACCCAAACCAAAGCACGCTAATTCGCATTTGAACCCATAGACCGCAAATTGACAGAAGGTTGCTTTGACTAGTAAGCCACTTTCCCACTCGGAATAACTAAATACTCACTGAACACAATCTTTTCTCGTAAATACTTGCAAGTTAAGAAGTGGTTTACCTTTGAATTGACTTTGTATTTAAACTAGTTATACCAGTAAAATCAATTTAGATAAATACTATTGAAATCAAAGAAGGGCAGTTAATGTATTAGCACTTATAATAAGAAAGACCAAACATTAATATTATAGTTCGACAGAATGTGATGAAAAGATACATATGAAGAAATACTGGTAGTCAATACTTGGATGGAGATAAAAAAATGAATGTATCTGTGCCACTGTGACCAATCCTGAGTTGCGCGACCCAACGTCTTCGGCTACTGATCGCGGTTGTCAAGCAGACCCTGACCAAGTAGTCTACGCCTACCAAAGTAACTCGGATCAGTAGACAATGAATTGTTGGGTTTCGCAGTGTTTTTTTTCGTTAGCATTCTACTTTTGCACATTTAGTTAGTTTGTTTGCTGTATATTCGGTAATGTTGTTCAGTGAACTTACTGTTTGTGACGATTTACATTTTTGACAAACTATTTGCTATCTTTGCTTTTTATAGTATGCCTATCCACAATATTTCTTACCTGTTCCACAAAATTTGAGAAATGCTTGGAGGTCAAGTATTATGAGAACCTCACAGCCTACGCATATGCTCTAGTTTCAAAGATAAAATTTCAAACAGATTAATATAGATGGGACTGATAAGTATTACGCACGCCATTTGATTGGCAGACGGACATCTCTATCATATTAAAAATGGGCCAAGTTGACAAAATCCTAACAAGGTTTCTTAATAAGTGACGAGATTTCTCCAGATAACTACCTCTCAAGGCTGATGGTATTTTTAAATTAGATAGGTGTTGAAATTCCTCAGTCCATATGATCGGTGTTCTGAAACGAAATTCTACATAAAGAGGGAGAGAAACAAGTCCCATGCATGCATCGGAATACTCTGCATTTTGCCAGTGTTTTCACCAAATAGCACGATACCACTTACATAACGTTATGTGAAGCACCTGAATATTTTTCTATTGTTTCGTTAATGGATCGTTAAATTAGTTTCTTAATTGATGTATTTCATTCTTCCTTATCTGTATTTTCTTTCTTCATCAAAATGCTGGGAAACAGGTCTTCACACTAGAGCATGATCGCAATTCAAGCATGTGCTGTAAAAGATGTAACATTTTTCTGTCAATCTGTTTTACGATATTTGATGTGAATATAGTCTCTTTGTGTTGATGTTGTAGATTTTCCCATTGAACTTTATCTCATATCAAGTTCAACGTTGACACCTTAATATTAAGTGATATTTGATCATAATTGTAGGAGGTCACCGTTTTCTGTTTAGTGGGTTGGAATGAAAAAATACCCGCTTATTCGTTGAACGTTGTTCACGACTAATTCGCCAGCTTGACTCGGCCTACCGACTTCAGGTCTAATGTCATCTGCCTCAATGATCGTTTCTGACTCCATGACTTTCCGAAGGTCATGAAGCTTCCAATGAAATGATGCAGAAGCATCAGCTTATATCCCTATCTTCGTAGGTTCTTGCTGTACCGTCTAGCTGGACAGCGCATAAACTATTACGAAGGTATTTAGTCTACTTTCAATCTCAGTGCTACATCCATATGTTTTGGTTTCATTTGTTTTTGTTGGGAACTACTCACTTTCTCATCTCATACTCAAAAAGCGGCAGAACATTATTAAGGTGGTTTTATGAGTTCGTAGAATTAATCCTTTTACTTTAGCTTTACCAGTCATCTTTTAAAAATTACCTTGTCATTCGCTTGGTTCTGTTATAAAACAAATATTTTTGTCATCAAATAATTTACATACACATGATTGTGTGCATATGTTTGGAAGCCCGTTTGCATATATAGCTATAGCTTTGAAATATTATCACTAAAAATCAATAAAGAACGTGACTTATCACATGTTTTGGTATGGATAAATTGATTTATATTTATTGCTCCCACTGTTCGCCTATATGAATAAAAACGTTTTCGTTTTCAGCATCCTACCAACTAGTTTTTGTATATTGTGTTTTCTGCTCAATTCTCAAACTATTATGGTCTTTCATTATAATATAATTGGTTGTTTGTTGGCTTCACAGAAAAACCAGCTGACATATATTTCAATGTTTGCTGTTTTACACCATTAACATTAATTTTGATCACGTCACGAAGAGATTCTGATAGTCTGGGTAGAAATGAAGGAACACGCAATATTTTAAGGTAGTTGATGTTTATAGTTTATTTTACGCAAATTCTTTTATTCCAGGAATGTTTCACGTCGTATTATGATAAGGTAATTTTTATTACTATTTTGCACTAAGATATCTATCAATATTTTTTAGACCTATAAATTCAGTAATTGATGGTTCTTTATCATTTTTTGGCTTTGATTCTCGTGAAACTACTATTGAGGATTGGAATGAACGACGGTTGAGGTATTTAATAAAACGTTATGGAAGCATAAAAGGTGATCGTTTAACAGTTGTAAGTTAATCATAATTTATTGAAATCACTATTGTTCTCAAGGATATAACTACTAGTTGCGAATTAGTTGTTGCTGTGTTACGTTACAATACATTTGACATGTGTACCATTGATACGCTGCCTAAGAATTAAACCTTACATTCAGGTCTTAATTGATTGGAGAGCGATTGACCTACGAACGGATGTTCTGCAATCACTTATGACTTCTTATTGTGTGAATTTTTGTGTTAATATTTTGTATATAAGTATGTCATTGTATTTCAGAAAAACCCTACTCTTCTGTACATCAGTATCATGTTATTGTGTAACGATTTCAACAAATTCATTACACTTAAAAACGTTGATACATGATATTAATGGGAAATGATTAAATATTCTGTCGACGTTAACTAACCATTATTGTTACACATCTACGTTTACCTACTGAATTGAAGAACAGAAAATTTAATCCATGTCTCAAATTTCACAGTCGATTTATAGTTACATTTAAAAAAAAATTATCCAAACATGTCATTCTGTCAAAATTAATCACCGAATGAGGCACAATAGTGCTCATGTTTTCGAATTTTTAAGAAAGTATTGGTTTGATGTCCTATTTGCTGTTTTTTTATTATTATGTATTATAGCTGACTGCCTCTCCAGCTCTATGCGATATATCGAGATCGTCGTTAAGACATCGTGTAAGTTACTATCGCTAAGTTATTCTTTTTTACATTTTTATTTTGTTGTTACGTCTCATATCCTTTCAAAATTTCAGCTGGCTTCAAGTTCACATTCTGTACCAATGAAGATTATCAATAGACGAAAAGTACGTTATTATTATTATTATTATTATTATTATTATTATTATTATTATTATTATTATTATTATTATTATTATTATATTTAAGACTATCATGAATATTTTTTGGCATTTCTGACAATGTTAAACTATTTTAAAATGTTACTATTTTTGAAGGATTAGTGACTTTATTTCTCTGATTAAATCGAATATACTGACGTAAGTTACCATTTAACGATTGATTTAGAAATAAAAAATTCTACTCTAAAATATAAACACTTACCGTTTAAGAAATTTGAAGTATCACTTTTAATTTCCCTAATAACAGAGAAAATAAAAAAAGTGCTGGAACGTACAGCTCGTGGAAGCAATCACGCTACGACTAAGGATAAGATACTCACTTATACCCTTGTTTGATTGTCGGGTCTCACTGCAAATCAATGAGAATTGAAAAAAGTGGATTGTTCCAGAGTAAATTTCGTCGAAAGTGAACCTATATCCGATTCAAGGTTGCTAAAGTTTGCAGAAGCCATTTTACCACTGGGTTTTGATATGATTATCGACTTTCTACGACGCCTATCCAACTTTAAACTGCCAAAATCTGAGATAACGTCTTCCAATTATTCAAACGAATTTGTTTGTTAAACCATGTGGAAAGACATCGGAGTTTTGGATACTTATACTTGCAAATCGTTGAAACTACTTCATTGGAATACTCTAATCATGAGTACTGTCTAATATCTTTAAAAGAAAATAGTAAGAAATCTTTCGGAATCGATTATACAATTCATAAAATCAGAATAACTATTTTAACTTTTATATTTATTGTATCTTGTAAAATGCCACAATGAAAATCTAAGAATTTAAGTTTATTTCTATTTTTTGCATTTAAGTCGCTTATCTATGAATATCATCTTATACCAATTTTTATGTTTTAGGTCTCTTTTGCTAATTCTTCTGTCGTGCCACCGATTGAATCTCAGAGACCGGTTTATCTACGTGAAGTAAGTCATTATCATTAAATTCATAACTTTCATGATGGCAGATGTTCGAAATAAACGTGATTTTGTGGACAATAAGCACAGGTGATTAACTTTTTAGAAACTAGTTTTGTTTTTGTTTTTTCATTGGATAGATAGAAACATACTGTGTAACTCTTTGTATAAAGGCCAATGATAATAATACCTTGCTGTCCAAACCGAAGTAATGGAGGCTTGGTTCGAACCTGTGGCCTGCTGGTTAGGAGCTAAGCTCGACAATCAATAAACCATTGCTCTATACGTGTAATTAGACAGTTGAGCTGTAGCTTTGTATCATATAACTAACGAATAAAACAATTTTTTTGCTTTATTAACTGCTATATCCTTTAAAAACGATAGTTTGATTCACATTTTGTTAGGCTCTTATTTACTTAATTGATCGTATAGTCTTGACTTAATCTTTTTATTTGTATTTCTTTTTAGTTGAGTAGTATCACGAATTTTAGTCTCCCAGTTGCACCTGCTGCAACTTCTGCTCATAAACCGCACGCAGTGAAAGTTATCCTATCAGCTATGTTGAATCGTCGAATGTTACGAACTCGTAAAAAGTTGGAAGGCATTGAAGTGAGTTGAAGATTTTGTCTATTAAATGAATTCATATTTCAACTCACGAACAATTTTCTTATATAAATTGCTACTAAAGTTTACTTACTTCAAATTCAACATCGTCATGCAGAACTTCAAGTAATGTTGAAGCGTTTGAATTCTTCCCACAAATGATCTGATCTCGTATCCAAACAAATCTTAATTTATATAGTTAGCATCACGTATTAATCTTAGTTAAACAAGTACTGAACATCTGTCTCGTTCCTTGGTACGATAGTCTTCAACAGTGCATGTCGAAGATTCCTCCGCTGGGGATCAAACCCAGGACTTTCAGTCCTGCAAGTGAGCACTTTACATGTTTAATTTCAGTAGATTCGTAATATCGCTCAACCGTCTTCCAATGTATAAGTTAATCGGCTCTCCTCAGTAAGTGACATAATTAGTCAATAAATTACTGCTTTGATTGAGTTCAAGTGATCTTTTCGTTTGATTTTCGACTTGACTCTTTTTCTGATTGTTGCATAAACTAAATCCATCTCGAGATCAGATCAATGATTATATCATCTAAACAAAGATTTTCAGTGAATTTGCCCATGAAACAAGAATTTATTTTGCTCATTATATGTATATCATAATGGCTTTGGATTGTTAAGGGCAGTAGTCACTCAATCCAGTAATGTTTGATATCTATGTATTTCCATAACATTGTTCCAACTGGATAGATCGATTTGTAAACAACGTCTACTTTACATTTTGGATAACCGAATTGGGATTGCTGGAAAAATGCTTTGTGTACGAATTAAGTTTTCTCTTAGAAGTGATCAAGAATTGTGTTGTCAATAGGCTGTTAGCTAGGTGCTTATTTATGAACTTGTAACCAATCGTTTCTTTGCAAGTTTGATTACAATCAAATATTACCTATATGCACTCTTTATGCATGTTTTCATAGCATGAAGTTCCTTCCGGAACCTAACTTAAAACCATCAAATCCCATGGAAACCACCTAACCTTCAGCCCACTGATTCGGAATCCAGTGCAATGTTTTCAACTGCAACCAGTTCACAATATAGCACGATGACCATCTAATACCATCGACGGTACTTGTCACACATCTGACATGACTAGACTCCACTAATAATGACTTTTTACTAGAACTTAAGAGGTTCACTTAGAAGCAAGTCTCTAGTAAGCACACCGTTACATCTTGATCGGAGATTTTGTCAATATTTATTTGATAAATAGATAGAATAGACTAATGTCAGCTGAGGATACTGTCGAACAAGTGAGTTGTGAGAGTGAGTGTGTCCTCCAGTGGGATAAACATATTTATTTTGTTATAGGGTATTTTATAATGTATTTTTCTTTTTTTCTAAACTATTTCTCTTCTTTATAGGTTAATGACACTGGATTTGAACGCTTTCATTCAGCTCCAACTGGTAGAATATTTTTATTAGATACAACAGATACTCATTTTAACAATGATAAGTGGGTAGCTCTTAAAGATGCTAAAAATGAAGAAACACCATTTCTAGCTGTATCGTCAACAATACCAGTCGGTGGTGAAACTAGTGTTAATACTGTTAATAATAACAGTCATAATGATATAATCGGTTATGATGCTTCGATGGAGCAACAGAAATCAAATGATATTGTCGATGGTCATAATGATAATGTTATTATTTCCCAATGTAGTCCGTCATCATTTGATCTACCTGCTACATATTCATTTTTTCAACATTCCAGTGGTTCTGCCAGTGAGTGTTTTTATTTTCAGGATTGATAATATCTGTTATCAATTTTTTCCCTCCCTCACCAAAATAAAATATTTTAGCTTCTTATAAAAATATCATCAAGATACTTAGAAAATTCCCACCATGTATATTAGAACAAGATTTATAAACGAACCATTCAGTTAAATCGTCATCAGGCTTTACTCCAATAAACATGGATAATTGAAAATATTAAACCAGTTAAGGCAGTTTATGACACTTAGTTGACAATGGTCATGTAGTAGATAAAAGCGAATCATTTCGGGTAATCTATTGTATAGCTTCGTCGTTCCCCAACGGAATGACTGTTTCGTCTTAATATGGGACTTAACAGTGCGCACCCACGACCGTTGTTATTTTAGTGTCCATTAACTCAGGCTTAATTTACTTCTCATGCTGAACTACTGACTATAACTTACTTACGCCTGATACTCCCAATGGAGCAAAGGCCGCCGACCAGCATTCTCCAACCCACTCTGTCCTGGACCTTCCTTTCCAGTTCTATCCAATCGTTGTCCATTCTTCTCATGTATGTTTCCATTTCTTGACGTAATGTGTTCTTTGGTCTTCCTCTTCTCCTTTGGCCATGAGGATTCCAAATGAGGGTTTGCCTTGTGACGCAGTCGCGTACTTTCCCCAATGTGTGTCCTATGCACTTTCAGCACTTCTTCCTCATTCCTTCCTCCACTGGTATCTGGTTTGTTCTCTCCAACAGTAGGTTGTTGCTGATAGTGTTTCGCCAACGGATCCGAAGTATTTTGCTTAGACAACTGTTAATAAACACTTGTATCTTCTGAATGATGGCTTTCGTAGTTCTTCAAGTTTCCGCCACAAACAGTAGAACTGTCTTGACATTTGTATTGAAAATTGTGACATCGGTGTTGGCTGACAGACAGTTGTTTTGAGTTGCAGATGTTCTCCAATTGTAGATATGCTGCTCTTGCTTTGCCGATCCGCGTCTTCACATCTGCATCAGATCCACCGTGTTCATCAATGATGCTGTCCAGATATGTAAAGGTTTTTACATCATTCAAAGCTTCTCCGTCAAGTGTGATTTGATTGGCGCATGCTGTGTTGTATCGGAGAATCTTGCTTTTCCCTTTGTGTGTGTTGAGACTTGCTGCTGCTAAGGCTGTTGCTACACTGGTCGTCTTCTGCATTTGTTGTTGCGTGTGCGATAGAAGAGCCAGATCATCTGCGAAGTCTACGTCGTCCAGCTGCATTCTAGCTATCCATTGTATCCCATGGTTCCCCCCAGATGTTGACGTCTTCATGACCCAGTCGATCACCAGGAGAAAGAGAAAGGATGAGAGTAAACAATCTTGATTAACACCGGTCTTTACCTCGAACGAGTCTGTCAATTGTCCTCCATGCACAATTTTGCAGTTTAATCCATCATAGGGATTCCGTATGATATTGACTATTGATAAGTCTTGTCGATTGAACGCTATATACGATTCCTAAGCTATTCTGGTAACCCGCAAGCTAAAACTACACAGCGACTTGAACACCAGAGAGAAGACGCGAAGTATGAGAGAAAATACTTTACTCCAAGGTTCATTTTTGTGAAGTTTCTGAAAATTTCCACAAAACCCATTCTGATAATAATCAACTGCTCACTGGTGACTGACTTCAGGAGATACTTCTGGAGTTCTAGTGAGAAGCCGTTACCAGTGGAGTTCAACCAGGTCTGTTGTGAGATATCAGCTCACTGAAGACAATGGTGTATGGTGGCACAACTTCGTGGATTGGTTGAAGTTAGACATTAACACAGTTGGATGCCGGCTCAGTGGTCTAATGGTTAAGTGCTCGCGCGCAAAACCAGTGGGTCCTGGGTCCGAATCCCGCGTGGTGCGGGGTCGTGCATGCGCACTGCTGGGGAGTTCCATACCAGGACGAAACGGCCGTCCAGTGCTTCCAGGTTTCCCATGGTGGTCTAGCTTCAATTGACTCATGGTTTCAACCTGTGAAATTTCGAATTTATTGCAACACAGAGTCTGATGAAAAAGTGATCAAAAACGGCCGTTGGCGTTAATACACTTTGTTACAAAATTACGACATATTGAATGTTGGATTATCACAAATAGGTCATTTTTATTACAAACATAGCCAACCTAGTGTTCAATGTATTTCAAGTTATCAACTTGAGTTTTGGCTATGATATTTATGAAGTAAAAAATTCACGTTAACAATATGTAAAAGTCAAGTGCGGTAAAGTTGACAAGGGACTTAATAAAAACCTTTCTACTCATAACTTCACTTTAAACATTAAATCTGTAGTTTGATTTGTTTGTTTCTCTTTATTAGCTCGAGAAATAATCGGAGAAAATCGCCCACGAACAAGTACCACAGTATCACCGATAAATTTTCGTCCTAGTCCAATAGTAATTCCATTTCTTTCAAGGCGTTTAACTGAAAGCTTATTGACTCCAACACGCTGGGCTTCAGCAATTATCTATCCGCATAAAGATAATTTTACAGAAGATATTTTTCGTAATAAAACAACTGAATATATAGAGTATAGGTAAGTTGTCATTATTGATCTCGACTGTGTGCATATTTTGTTATTCGTAAGAGTATGGTTTCTGTCATTTTGATTGAATAATTTAGGTCAGTTTGTTTTCCTTGAAATCTCAGATTTTATTCTCACTAAATATGAATTGTTAAGATCCCTGAATTTTAGGCTGAACTGAATTATTAATTATTAGTTTAATGTTATATTCAACAATGAATGATGAATTAGGCTCCACTTCGAAATAACCTCATCTGATTTCATTGTGTACGAGAAGGATCTCTTTATTAGTATGTTCTACAAATTTTGCTGAGATTGACATCTTACCACTATTCTAGAATAGGTAACTTGAGAAAACTATATGGTTCCCAGAATTCGAAGATAATACATTGATGGGGTCCATATCAGTTATCAAGTTAAAAAGGGATATTTATTAATCCTCCAGTGCTTCCAGGCTTTCCATGGTGGTCTAGCTTCAATTGACTCATGATCTCAACTATTGAAATTACTACAATATATATATTGATGATACAGAACACAATCCAATAACTTAAATCTTGGTGAGTTTATAGCTATCATTACCAAGGTTTGATTAATGATTCCAAGTATACTGAACATTGAGTAGATTGTCAGTAGTAAGATAATGATATAATAGTATCACATCTGACGTTTCGTAACTCAGTGTAGGACACTTCTTCAGAGAGTACCTAACTTTTATTTATTTAAATTTATTTCTACTATTCTATTACTAATCTTTCTCAATTTTTCTTGTAAAAATAATCTTAATTAGGTCGTTTTTTTAGTTTTCGATCTTCACTTATATGTTCACTATTCTATGAATAATTTTGTTTTATTTATTTAATTCGAAAACAAACAATATTCAAATATAGACCATATTTTACATATTGGATATCATTTATTCATATATTAATTTTTATTGCTGGTTCAATCGGTTACGGATTTGCACCAATTGGTTTGGGGATAACTACACGTATTGTTGGCAAAGTGTTACTGCCCACATTGACTATTGATCAAGTTTGTTGGATAGAATATGAAAATTTATGGATAGGTCCAAGGCAAACAGATTTAGTCCGATTAGGCGCACGTTTTCCGCCATGTATGCGATTCGATCCAGTATTACATGATTCAGTGATTAAACGTCAAAAGAAATTTGATCGTGCGTAAGTTTCTTCATTTAATAATTGAACAATTTGTAAGTATTTCTATAAATCCCAAAGTGTATAAGCATTACAACTTAATTTAGTTAAGCAGCAAGGTTGATAAAAATAATTCTACTTGGTTTATTAAACTTTAGCTCACAATTGTTATTGATAGACCATAAACACGGAATCATTATGTATGGTTTTGGTTTCGAGTCCCGAGTGCGGGATCGTGGGTGTGCACTATCGATTAGTCCCATACTAGGACGAAACGGCCGTCCAGTGCTCCCAGGTTTTCTATGGTGGTCTAGCTTAGATCACGTCATGAATTCAACCATTAAATTTTAAAAATGTCTACCCATGAAATGTAATTTAAAAAACCGTTTTAGCGAAATCCTAGATGTTGTATATTAACTGATCTCTGACTGTACGAAATGTAATAGAAGGGTCATATTCCCCTATTAATCGCCTTGTTATGATGTTAAAGGAAGTTGTAGGTGAATACAGTAGTAAAACTAATTTAGGTTAAAAATCCCTATAGAATATTCAAAAATGAAGAATATTTGAGCGGACAATTGTTTTCAATAACTTCATCATCAGGTTCTACAGTTATAAGTCCACAATTTTGTTATTTTACAAAGGCCAAAATACACCATGTATTAATGGATTTAATAATGTTATATGTTGAAAATGATGAACTTTTACATCTATTGCGACATATACATTTCAAAATTGCGTTATTTATAAATTAGAAAGGTCATTCAATAAAGGTCAGAATGATTTGGAGTAGTGCCTATTATACTGATTGTGATTTGACACGTTATAATTCATTACTAACTTATTAAGTCTGTTGTTATTATTCGTACTACGTAGTCTAGTATTGTAATCTTTCTATTACATAATCTTGGTTATTCCTTGTTCATATTTCCTCATGGAATTTATACGATTGTACAGCCTGATAATAAATTCGTTGACAAGAGATCCCTTCACTGAACTTATATATAGGTTTGGTAAGCTTTAGTGAGCATGTATACTATTCACTTAACTAAAGTTATCTCCCGTATATTAATTTCTCGATCATTGTTTACTCATTTGACAATGTACCTTAGTATCCAGTCTTATCATGTTCCTCAGTCTAATTCGATTGATCCGAATGTTAGAAATAAAAATAACCGTGAAGTAGTAGATTATATGATATAAATATCATAATTTTCATAATGTGTATTTGCTTAGGTGTTTATGTATGAGTTGATTTTTTTCTTCACTTCTCTTCTATAGTTCGGGATGTTGTATTCGCAATGATGGTGGTGGTTGTTATCAGACGCATAGAGAGGTATGCTCTCGTACACTAGCTACATGGCTTCATTATGAAACAGTTAATTTCAGTAAGCAACAAACTAAAGAACTACTTTCAACTAATATTGCAGATCGTGAAATTCACGTACATATATTGAAGGCTTCTCATCCTGAAAATAATTCTCACAGTCATAATAATAATATATCAAGTATTATACATTCTCTACGTTCAACACGACTTGTTGGTCAAGCTGGACCTGTATGTGGATTAGATCCAAATTTTTGTGCTCGACCACGCTCTATTGGAGCATTTGCTTGGTCCGAGACAGATGTTACGAAATGGCCTGTAAATGTAAACATATTTTGTCGATTTCTGTTTTTTTTTTACTCCGTATACCCCGTTAATCCCTTTTAAATATACGTTCTGTACGACACCCAATATTCACAAGACAATGAAAAACTGACTAATCCTCTACCTATCAACTAATGAATACGATACAACCATTCGTGGAAAAGCATTATACTGCAATTCGTTGTATTCTGTTTCAGATGTTTGGAAGCAATAAGTGGTACCATATAGTTTACATTAGAACGACTGAAGAAAATATGTCAGTGTGCTTAAAGTCCTCAGTAAATACCCCTTTTTATTAATACTATCCATCTACTGGAATCAAAGTAAGCGGAAGAATAGTCGATTTAAACTCAGGGACAAAATAATCGAAAGTCAAATGTCCATATCCATTATGTCAGCTAAGTTTAAAAATGTAGTTATGTATATTTTGTCTGGAGCTCAAACTCAATGGTTCGAAACATTGATATTCAATCATTGCTTAACACTTTCGAACCCTCTCTAAGCAGTAGCATTTGAACTACTCAGTCTACTACAGAAAATTTATACGAGGACTTGGATTTATATTCTTGTCATTATTTGATGATTATGCTAACTTGAAAGTAATTTTATTCATATTCAGACTTGTCTTGTATTTTAATGCATTGGAAATTAACAGATGAGCTGAAAAGATAGTTTTTTCCATTTGATAGGGGTCATCAAATATTGAATTAACTAGTCATTGAAGCTTTTGGTGGCAATGATAAACTTCAAAAATATCGATATGGTGTCATTAACTGTGAAAATATTTTCTGTTAAGTTTGTGAAACTATTTTGCTTTCCAATGATTCGAGTAGATGAATGTGTACTACTGAGGTCAGTTTTGTATCTTATCATCTAAATTCAAATAGTCAGTTCCACTGTCCCTATGATCTTACCTAACACATTTGTAACTTTGCTGTAAGGACTATGGTTCATGAATTGGCTCATCAGTTTGAACTATGATCCACATTTGGCTATCTATTTCTCATTAGTTATTGCTAACCAGTTTACGAACAAATATCTGTACATTTATTACACAATTTTATTTACAGAACTAAAAACAACAGCCGTTTACTATCAATTCATATCTCTGTATCAAACAGTTTTGAATATTATAAATCGAGTAAATATTACTGTTTTCATGAATGTACTATGAATGTTTTGTTCATTCTAGATTTGTGAATTACCTGATACTGTACCAAATATGGGTGGTTATGCACCACATATGGAATGTCAAGTAACTGGTCATCCATGTTGTTTAGGCATAAAAGGTGAATGCATTATGACTACACAAGAACATTGTGATTTTGTTCGAGGCTTTTATTATCCAAATGCTGCACTATGTTCACAAGTAAATGAATTCAACTTGATAATAATGACAATTTATTTTTGAGAAGTAAAATCTTTCCGTTTTATCCCCTCACCCATACATTGCAACAGGATAACGTATTTTCGTAACTTTTCTAGAAATTCAAATGATAACTTGAACGTCCATTAAGACCTAGTACATTCTCTCATGTTTTCAACATAAACACAAGTTAAAGAAATGAACAAAATGAAGTTTTCCGGACGCTTTGTGTAGCAATGTAAGAATATTTGAGATTTGTTTCTTCACTGAGTACAAAATATTACTTCAGGACTGATCTATGTCAACGCATATTTTGACTGTTGGGAATAGGTTAGCCCAGCATTTTATTTTTTGATGTGATGTATCTCGACAGAGATTTAAGAAGCTCGCTTTTTATTTACGAATATAGCACCATCTTTGGGACAGGCGAGATAATCGGCTGTTTGTCTTAATGAAGAAGCTGTTCCACTCGTATTGCTTTAAGGCTGTGGCATATGGTTGATGAAAGCGAAAACTCGCGTAGGTTGTAATGATTTGATTAAAAGTGTCTACAAATGTTTCTTACATCTAGTGAAATTATTAAATGCGTAATGCTAAGTTTTGCGTACTGTTTCATTTAAAAATGAAAAGCTGATCAGTGAGGCTGTAATTCACTATTCGTTGAGTGTCTTCTATGTCTCCCTAACTTTTTTAGTCTGACTTTTCTTCACTTCTTTCATGGTAGCTGGGTTTATTTTCACTTTTGTTCATACAATAATTATCTATACCCATATTCTCATAAGTTGAATTTCCTTACTGATCTGTTTAGTTATTACTAATATTAATTACGATTGTTTCTCTGGTTTTAGGTGAATTGTTTAAATCAAATTTGTGGTATGTCACCTTTCATAAATAATGAATACCCAAATCAAATGTATCGAATATTCACTTCATTATTTCTCCATGCTGGGTAGGGTTTTATCGTCATTATTTGCTTTCAAATTACAGAATTGTATTTAAACCGTATAACTAAATATGTATGATATGAGATTAGATGGTGGTTGGAGGTAGTCAACAGGAAACCCTGGACCCGGGTTTCGTGCTACTTGGCACTCGTCAGCAAGGTGTACCTGTAATCTTGACTACCTCCAACCACCATCTAATCTCAATACATAGTGCCCGCAGTGTCGAGTCACCTAGACTGGTGGCCACATTGCAACATGATCGATAGCATTCGATCTGCACTAATAAGGACTAGACAAGCATGAGATTGATCACCACCCAGTGATCAATCAATTGTGATGTATGATATGAAAATACTTTCTATCAAAAACTGACATCCAGCTGAGGAATCATTGAAAATTGGAATGTTCCAAACGACTATTTTGTCATACATTCTCGGTTATCTTTATGTTCCAGCAAGAAATTGTGATCATTGGGGTTCATTCAACTTAGGTAAGAGACATATATCACAAATGTCGTAGTGAACGCGAACACGAGTGAGGACAACCAAATGTATTTGAACACAAAATTATAGAATCTCCTGACAAAATCTGAGAACCATGCAATAGATTCTTCATTTGCAAAATGTCAGTCAATCGTCCCAGACTTCACTGTTCCTTCCTTTCCACACCAATCAATCTCTGTTCTCATTCTCTTTTCTTTGATCTCCTTAACCTTCTACCGCCAGACATTTCACTTTCGATCGATCATACATACTACTTATATCTGTCGACATCAGTAGCACACACCACAATGGTACTGGATGGCGTTCTCTCTGTATCGTAAACTAATTAAAGTTATAGATGTGAACAATAGAATAATAACTTGGGTTCTTAAAGACATCTTGATCCCTTGGATGTATGAAAGTTTTGGGTTCGATTTTCTAGTTGGATTGCTCACTGTTGGGGAGTTTGTCTTTGAGAAAAAAAAACATCTGCATACTTTATAATAAATGCTGTTTATCTCAAATCAGCTGAAGAACAACATCCAAATTGATAAGATGTCATGCATAAAAGCTTATGATTGCCAGCTAACACGAGATCCTTGTCTAGGATTTTCTGTTGATTGCCTCTTATCACCTAACAATTATTTCCAAAGAACTCGTGACTAAATAAAAAAAATATAAATCAGTCAACACAGTTTTATTCACTAGACAAAATAGACAGATTGATGTTACATTTGACTGCTTTAACTTGCTTTGTTCATAATAGTGTGCAAATATGAAGTCGGATTGATAAGAATCAATTGCATAGACATGCAGACTGAAATCGTAATAAAAAAAGCGAGTCAGCCGTCTTATCTTAATGTGACATCATGATCCAAATCCTCTGAGCAAAAATTGTAGACCGTAGTTTTACTCTTGGTAAGCTTTAATAACATCAGGATCTACCTTTCAATGGTAAGCAAAAATCATGATTCTTCCAAACTGAAAACATTGGTCATTCACCGTCCGAACTGTGAAATTTAATGATTGTTTGGGACTGTGTTCGATACAGTTATATCACGTAATGACTTACCGAAGTAAAAAATGTCACTTTCTTCCTGAATACTTTTTCCATCTATGTGCTATCGATTTTTTTCTAGTGTATTACATTTAATCTTGTCCCTTGGTGTTCAAATGATTTTTATGCGAGACTTGGAAAAAATGATTGGTTGGCATCGTATCACTTTAGTGTATATTTTATCCGGTTGTATTGGAAGTTTAACATCTGGAATATTCTTACCATATCAAGTAAGTCATTTGATTTGATTAATAAATGGATGTAAACCTAGAGTTGTTTAAAATAATTAAATCTAAATAAACACTGAAGAGGATTTGTTGCTCTAGTAGATGCTTTTGGTAGTGTTGAATTCCGAAGCTTCTGTTATCCCTGTTGACCATATCACTAATCCCTCCTTCACTTGGAAGTGAGCTTTCTGATTATTTAATGAACATTAAATCATTCTATCATGATGGCTATCTACCAACCAGACAAGAAAAAAGAAAGAATAAAGTTTCTAAGGATATGAAATTTGGTCAGTTTAACTGTCTATCCGTTCGCTTTTATGACCAAACAAAAATGTAGTTTTAAACGTTAAATTAAAAGCTTATTCCCAATAAATAAGGTGAATTTTCTTTTCAAATTCGGTAACAATTTGCTGTACCTTTTACCTTAGTTATTTGGTCTTATCTGTCTCGAATAGCAAGGGATGGATTTTCTTGAGAAATACGTTTGTGTGTTGGAGTTCCAACAGAAGAGTTTCTTCAATAATTTTAGGTGACCAAAATTATAAACATTATTGAATAGAATTATGACTAATTAATTGTATTAAAAATGTAATCGTATGTAAGATAAAGTTCTATCTATTTTAATGGTTGAGATCAATTGAAGCTAGACCACCATGGAAAACCTGTATACGGCTATCCAGTGCTTCCAGGTTTTCCATGGTGGTCTAGCTTCAATTGACACATGATCTCAACTATTAAAATTACTATAATATCCACAAAATCCCCTTCCGATTCTATCTATTAGTTTTAGAAAATCAATTATTTGATGAGTTCAAAATGAGGCAACGAATTGACATCCTAGATTAAATTTATTTTACCTCATCAGCATGGAGTTAGAATATGTAAACATTAACGAGGTAATTGATTTCTTGATATTACGTTGTTCTATTCCTTTAGAAAATGGAAGTAATTAATTACAATATGACTTGGAGATGTACAGAATATCGTATAATGAGGTGTAGGTTGTGTTATCATATGAACTATGGATCGTACTTCTAAGCGTATGATTGATTGACGGAAAGATGTGCGGTTCGAGTTTTAAACGTTAACTACTCTAACCTAAAATATCACACCAGTTACTCAAGTAATGATTTTAAAATTTAGTTTTTCACTAAACCTATCGACTTCATACTTACAATTTTAATGAGAATTCGATTAGCTAACTTAAAATTAACCCGGCTACACATATGTGACACTATGCTTCCTATGGACGAATGACATATATGAATGTCACCCACCTAAAATGACTGATCTAACACATATTAAACATATTCAAATGAAGAATACATCATTAGTCTGACTGAAACGTATTGTGTTATAACAATCAGCAAGGTTATGGAAATATATGACAAGATACAGAAGCTTCATCGTGCGCAACCATGACCCACATAAACAAATCATTTTATTTATTACATAACTACTAGTACAAATGAATAAATTAGGGTTAGTAAGTATATATTAAATTAGGATAGTCGAAAAATGAATTATGAACTAGTCGGAGATTGATTCAAAAAGTTAAATGGCTACATAATTAAACACAAATCGTTCTTACTTACTTGCGCCTGTTACTCCCAATGGAGCAAAGGCCGCCGACCAGCATTCTCCAACCCACTCTGTCCTGGACCTTCCTTTCCAGTTCTATCCAATCGTTGTCCATTCTTCTCATGTATGTTTCCATTTCTTGACGTAATGTGTTCTTTGGTCTTCCTCTTCTCCTTTGGCCATGAGGATTCCAAATGAGGGTTTGCCTTGTGACGCAGTCGCGTACTTTCCCCAATGTGTGTCCTATGCACTTTCAGCACTTCTTCCTCATTCCTTCCTCCACTGGTATCTGGTTTGTTCTCTCCAACAGTAGGTTGTTGCTGATAGTGTTTCGCCAACGGATCCGAAGTATTTTGCTTAGACAACTGTTAATAAACACTTGTATCTTCTGAATGATGGCTTTCGTAGTTCTTCAAGTTTCCGCCACAAACAGTAGAACTGTCTTGACATTTGTATTGAAAATTGTGACATCGGTGTTGGCTGACAGACAGTTGTTTTGAGTTGCAGATGTTCTCCAATTGTAGATATGCTGCTCTTGCTTTGCCGATCCGCGTCTTCACATCTGCATCAGATCCACCGTGTTCATCAATGATGCTGTCCAGATATGTAAAGGTTTTTACATCATTCAAAGCTTCTCCGTCAAGTGTGATTTGATTGGCGCATGCTGTGTTGTATCGGAGAATCTTGCTTTTCCCTTTGTGTGTGTTGAGACTTGCTGCTGCTAAGGCTGTTGCTACACTGGTCGTCTTCTGCATTTGTGGTTGCGTGTGCGAGAGAAGAGCTCCAATCGTTCTTGGAATCATTTGATGGGTTGTATTGATAGAAATATATTTTAATTCCCTAACCAACAGTTGCCAAAGTGTAGCGAACTAAACTACATCATTTTATTTATTCAGATTTTTTCGGTCCACTTTTCTCTTAAGTATTTTGCTTCTATCAAAATCATTCATGCACTCAATTTGTTTTCAATCTAGAGATGTATTTCGCTTAAAAAAATCATTATTATTAACACTAGTATTGATAAACCAGTCAGTTTAGTTAATTTTGATTGTTTTTTTTTGTACCACGGGGATTTTTCGTTTCCTTAGGTAGAAACTGGACCTACAGGTGCACAGTTCGCTTTACTTGGTGTCACTTTAGTTGATTTTATACATTGTTGGAATTTTTTAGCACATCCATGGTATGCATTACTAAGAAATATTTTACTGGTATTTATATTATTCACATTTGGTTTGTTACCATGGATTGATAATTATGCAAATGCTGGTAGTTTCCTATCTGGTATTTTATTATCATTTATTTTATTACCATTTCGTGGTTTCATTTATCCACCTGTATCTCTTAGTGCATCCATAGCTACATCAGTTAATCAAAATATATTTGATAATAATTATTATAATACACCTATAACATCACCAACAACACCATCTATTCTATTTAATTTCAATTTACCTGATATAAATCGTAAAAGTTGTACATCATTACAACATCATTCCTCTATGCATCCACAATATCTTCAACAACAAAATTCTAAATGTCATCATCGTTGTTTTATTATTATATTATGTTCTATTCTATGGTTAATATTATGTATTGGTTTAATTCTTATGTTTATATGGGGTCCAATTATTAATTGTCGATATTGTAATTATTTTACATGTTTACCATTAACATCAAGTTTTTGTGATAATTTACAAGTTAATGTAAAACAACGATCTGATTGTATTTTACCAAATTGGATTTAACACAATTTATTTTGTATCAGAATTATAGTCATTTCAATAATTGCTATCGTAAGTCAATTGAAGCTAGATTATCATAGAAAACGTGGAAATGACCATCCAATGCTTCTACATTTTCCATAGTGTTCTAGCTTCAATTGACTCATGATCTCAATTATTGAAATTTTCTTAATGTACATCTTCATTATGCAATATTGATCAAATATCATGACGTTTTAACAGATACATTAAGGTGATTTGTTTTTTATTTTATTAAAATAAACTATTTTTGGAAATCCATTTCTTAGGTATCTCTTCTTCGTTTGCGTATGAGTGAAAAGACATCACTTTTGTTTGTATTGTTGAATATTCAGTTTATAAATATAAATTCCGTATATCACATTGTGATTGTTTTTATCATTATAATTTTATGATTATAAAATTTCTGTTCTTAAATTGAATTAGGATTGTTGTTATCTTATACTCTATATTTTCTCACATACTAAACTGTAAGTATATTATAGGGAAAATATTTAATACTGATAATATTTCCCAATTGAAGTGACAGACTTGATTTTAATCAGAGAGAGATTCTTTGGATATTATAGTAATTTAATAGTTGAATTCATGAGGCAATTGGAGCTAGACCACCATGGTGGATGGTGACGCGAATTCCTGGATTGTTAGAAGTTACACATTAACACCGTTAGATGCTGGCTCAGTGGTCTAGTTGTTGAGCGACCGCACACGAGACTGACAGGTCCTGGGTTCGAATCCCGCGTGGTAGGGTCTTGGATGCACACTACCGAGGAGTCACATATTAGAGTGAAACGGCCGTCCAGTATTCCCAGGTTTTAAACGGTGGTCTAGATTTCATTTTGTAAATCAAAATTTGTTCATAAAAAGACACCATATCTGTATTTTCAAGTTGTCAAACTAATCTAGCTTAGGCGAAGAGAAGAAACGTAGTTCCGTGTCCACATGCTTGATAATACTTACTTACTCCTGTTACCCCTCGTGGAGGAGCATAGGCCGCCCACCAACATTCTCCATCGAACTCTGTCTATCCTTTGTAGTTACTATTCATTCTTTTGATTTCTTCCAACTAGTGGTGCAATGTGGTATTTGGTGTTCCCCTTCAGGATTCCAACTAAGCGCTTGCCTCGTGTTCCAGTTTGGTGATTGCTTCAGTGTATATCCTATCCACCTCCAACGTCTTTCCCTAATTTCTCCAACTGCAGGCTGGTTTGTTCTCTCCCACAGTAGACTAGGTTGTTGCTGATGGTATCCGACCAATAGATGTTGAGTATCTTGCGTAGACAATTGCTTGTAAACACTTGTACTTTTTTGAAGATAGTTATATTAGTTTAAGCTCCGTACAGCAGAACTGTGTTAACGTTCGTAGTGAAGATTCCCATTGACAGTTGTTTTGAGCTCGATATGTTCTTTAACTGTAGAAATGCGGTTCTTGCTTTTCAATCCTCACCTTTATATCTGCATCAGATCCTCCTTGTTCATCGATGATGCTTCTCAAGTACGTTGAAGTTTCCACCTCCTCCAGAGTTCCTCGTTCATGTGTGATTGGGTTGGTGTTCTCTCTGTTGAATTTCAAGATCTTGCTTTTTCCCTTGTGTATGTTGTGGTCTACTGATGCAGAGGCTGCAGCTACAATGACTATCTTCGCCTTCATTTGTATGAGATAGAAGAACTGGGTGATCTACGAAGTCCGAATCGTCTAGTTGCATGCGAGCTATCCATCGTATTCCGTGCTTTCCCTCAGGTGTGGAGGTATTCATAATCCATCAGAAGAGAAAAGGGGAGACTAAGCAACCTTATCTTACCCCCATACTTGGTAGTTTTAATTTTAGATGTTTATTTCCCAGTATTATGCTTTCCAATCTTCTTTGTTTGAGCCCATTAATGATTATTATTTTATTTAGAGTATAACAAAATAAGTCATTGAAACTTTTATATTTTTAATTAGTACAATTACAGAGTCATTTTTCATGATTGAAATATTTTGTTCTATGAGAATATATCCTTCGGTATTCGATAGTCTACAACAAACGCTTGTCCAAACACTCTTAAGTGCTTTCTTGTAGAGTATGTGAAACGAGATGGGTTTAATTGAACTATTTGAACAGACGAAAAATATATTTATCTTCAACAGTATACGATCCCACTATTCACTGTTACTACGTATGGTTAATTTCATCCTTTTTTTATAAACAAAACGATTACTATGTCGATATCTTATAGTAATATACTGGTATACACATTTCACATGTTGCATTCCGTTATCATTCCATATCAAATGACATTCATTCTCACTATGCACAAAATTAACAAATGAACATGTTTGGACAAGCATTTACTACTGACCTATTTTAAGCCTTATTCATCATTGATAATTAACATTTTCATTATTAAGGAGTTAGCCCACTAATATTGTGTCATTTCATGGATAGATTTCCTAAAGAATTTATTTTTCCAAGTGGTGGAAGAGACAAACTTTTTATAAAACTAGTATTCCGACCATCCATTCTCTATGGGATTCAACCAATCGAATTGCAACTAAACAGGGAGGATTAGTCAAACTGCGACTAAATTATATTGTATTATTATTAGCTTTATTCAATATGTTTTTGGTACAATACGGTATTTCAACAAGTTTCCTATTCTTATTTCCTGATCGATCCTGACGAGAAATATTGAGTGATCGTCAGTTATATGTTTGGGAATCGACATCTCAATAATGTTCGTTCTTTTGAATGCATATTGCCAGCCACCATGATGTCGCTGACTGTGCCTTTTCGTAACCTGTACAGTTAATTGTCGCAAACACCCCTGAATAAGTTGTGCGCTCAATAGACATAATGATTTGTTAAAACAAACAAGAAAACAGGTAACTTGTTGAAATGGCAGTAACAGGTAGCCCAGATATTCAAGCAGGCCGCCGACTTTTCTAGATCTCATAATGAGAAAGTTAGATCGAACCAACCACGTACGTACTTTTCTAAATAAATAAAAAGGGTAGAAATAGACAAATTTTTTCCTCATTGCACGGTCCCGTAGGAATTATGTCAGCACCTCAAGAGCCCTCTCTCATTTCCACCTATAAACTGAAAATTTGTTCGAACTGCTTATTCTAGCCGATAATTAGTCTTTGTTTATTCTCATGGACTACAGCTGATTTTTGTCTTATCCACCGTGAACCACTACAATCGGGAATTGTAATTCTAATATTTAAATAACCTTCCTATCGAATTAATATCGATTCATTTTGCGTTTACATTGTGACCCATATTTACATCGTTTTATTTCTGTCTTGATATCTTCAAACATATTTCAAACAGCCTCAAAACACTTGACAACTACAAGCAGTCACATTATTTCAGGGCACTAGTTTTACTTAAAAACAAAATTTCAATATTCAATCAACCAATAACTCTTGGCCGTTTTTTTAGACTGGTAAAATAAATTTCTGTGATTCATTTAAATTGTCAACAAAGAAATAAGTAAATAATCGTACTACTGAGAAGTCCCGTGTTAGGACGAAACAGCCGTCCAGTGCTTCCAGGTTTACAATGATTGTCTAATATTCATTCATGATATCAATTTTAAATAAATAATCATTTAGAGATAACATTTTGTTCAGTAATCATATAAAAGTAGTAATAAAAAAAATAGGACAAAATTTTTTGAAAGAATGAAAATGACAAATAAAATAAATAAAGTTAGAAAAAGAAAAACACTGAACAAAGCCAAGCATTATAAGTGAATTGGTTTATGCATAAAAAACTGCATAATTTCAATCAAAGTCCATAGTCGTTTAAATAAAGGGGTAGTAACAAAAGTGTAATCAGTTCTTGAGCACTCTTCTACACGTTGAACTAAATCATAAAATGATTGCCATAGTTTTTGATCTTTTATACACATTGTACCACCACCACGTTCAAATTGATGAGGCTGAAGTAAATAACCATATGATGGAAAGAAAAGCAATACAATTTAGTTTTGAGATTTGTGAACTTAAGACTGATTTAGGAATATTTTAAAGGTACCGGGTAAAATACATTAACCTATGGCAAAGGGACAACTATTAATTCTTAATCTCAATAAATTAGGCTAAGAATGGGTTTGCTCGTCGTAAACAAAATACAAAAATCAAAGAATATCGGTGTCGAGTTATTAAAAGTGAATAAACTGCACCTTGATAGGCAACGGAATTTGACTGATACCACAAGTTAGAACAAGAGAAAAATTATGATTCGTGACTGATGTTGCGAAGATTTAAGTTTACAAAAAACCGGGTCGTTCATTAACTGAGAAACACATTTACCCATACTGAAACTTAATAAGCCCAACAGAATAGTTATTACAACGAGATGGGGTGACAAATGTTATATGCGTTCAGGCAATAGTGAACTATTCGGATTTCTCCATATGTGGTTAATAGCTAGTTAGATCGGCTGTAAGATTGAATTTCGTTATTGATACTTGATCTGTCAAAGTGTGAGTAATATATGTAGACGTTCTTAATGCTCTATCTGAAGATTGTGCTGATAATATCTCCAAAAAAGACCATGAGTTTCATGATTAAACCACTCAGCTCAGAGAACTCAACTCAAATTGAACTAGTATGTACAAATAATATATCCTGATAATTATCGTTTGTTCATTAGCGAATACCTTTGAGATAAATTCTCAAGATTATAGTTAAAAGAGTAATTAGTGAAGTTAAATTAAGTTGATTGTATGACAGTTATTTACAAAATCGGGCGGTTGTCGCATTATGTGAATCTGCCGAATATATTGTCGATAATCATTTTGAAAGAAAGTTTTCGTACCCGTGTCTAACATCAGTTTAAATTTATAGACAACACTTAATCAACAGCATATCATTAATACAAATTTGAATCAACAAAGCCTAAGTACAAAATGTAATGAGAATATGTTTATTTGATCCATTCAATTATAACCAGACGATTAAGTGGGTAGAGAATAAGCAGAGGAAACACGAA